CACATGATTTTATATAAAAACAAGTCACAAACAGTGTTGAAACGTAAGTAAAAGTATTTAGATACAGTATCTAGATATTTTAGCTGTACCTAAGTACATTACCTGGATTCTTATAGGCGGAAATACCTGTATCCGTATTTAGTTATTTTTGGATATGGTATCTTTTAAATTTTAGATACATAGGTACAAGGTACTTATGCATTTTATTTTATGTTATATTAGAAACTAATTTTTGATTACTATATCTATTATAAATCATCTTTACTATACTATACTATAAATCAAGAGTACTTCAATGTGAAGAAAAAAAATTAAAAAAAAATTTTTTTGTTTAGCAATTGTTAACAAAAAAATTTTTTTTAATTTTTTTTCTTTACAACATTGAAGTACTCTTAAAATCGTACAACTTCTGTTTAAAAAATTTTTGTCCATCTTTTATATCATCTTCCAACGATTCGAAAGAAAAATACCGTTTTTTTTTAAAGAGATTTTTTTTCTCTTTAACATGATTTAGGGCATGTATAAAAAAATACGTGTCTCTTAGATTTTCGTGATTTTTGTCATTTGCAATTTTTCTGTAAAGTTAGTGATAGTATTTAAGTAAAAAATGAACGTCGATAAGTTGGCCCGCTACTATGATCCAGCAACTTAATGCACTGCAGTGTACATAAAAAACTCTTAGATTTTAACAACATATTTTATGGGGAATCAAATCGGTTCCGGACAGTTGTGAAATTTCCCTTGTGAGTCGAAAAGTTCTTTACCGATTAGTATCCTGTTAAAGGTTAAAGGTACTAGTGGCTTGTTAAATTAACAAAATCCTTTCTCTCATTGTCAGTGTAGAACAGACTAAATTAAATTGAAAAGTCCTTTGTGCAATACTTTAGGAGATATTAATTTCTAAATATCACTTAATGAGTATCTGCGCGGATTATCATCAAGTATACGCCCGTATTAGTCGCGATCGCTACGTGCTTGTTGCACAGGGAGTAGTCACTGCTTGGTAGGCTTAAGTTATGGCGCTTAATGCGCGCCTACCAAGTAGTTCTCGCGCAATAATCGACTGCAATTGATAGACGTAATCTAGTTCGCACGGATATGTGCTTATTTGGTGTGATCTTTAGAAATTAATATCTCCTATAAAGTATTGCAAAAATTGCAAAATGATAAAAGATTTTTCGACTTAGTTTAGTCCGTTCTACACTGACAATGAGAGAAAGGATTTTGTTAATTTAACAAGCCACCAGTACCTTTAACAAGGTACTAATCAATAAATATATGACAACAAAATTGATTTGTTGTAATTGCTACTAATCTGCTATACCAACTAATTATTAGTAATAGAAGCAAACTATATAGAACCTAACCTATTTTTTGGATCGTTTATCACAGAAATCATAAGATTTGTTCGCGTCGCAAGCTCTAATATGTTCCAACATGCTCCTACTGTAGCTCCTACTCACTCTATCAAGTGCGTTGGATTAAGTAAGAGCTATGGTAGGAGCATATTGGAACGTGTTGGAACATGCGACGCGAACAAATCTATAGATGATCGTGAAGTCTTAAGGGAGAAATTGACCAGTCGCAGACAAATATAAGGAGAATACTTGATTAGAATTGGTCAATTTTTTATAATTTGAGATCCTATGACCATCTACGACTTCTATGTACAGGGTATCCCGCGAGACTTCTCCAACCGCCCACAGGAAAGTAGATGGGATCGAAATAAACATAAAAGTCCTTTACCGTTTAGCGATATTCTTAATAATCAAGATATTAATGTTTGCAATTGTACTAATGAGAGCGCGCCGATAGAACCGACCTAAGTACCGATTTAGCGATACAGATTACATAGATGTGTGGATATATTGTGCGAATTGCTGAGCTGAGCACACTGAGAAAAATGTGTATTTTTAATATCTACAATTTTTACAACACAACACTAAATGTGCCTATTTCCGTATTCAAACTAGCACGACGTTATCTAAGCATTTGTATCGTTACGTCAATAATTAACATTTCTAAAATTAGTATTTCTAGCAATTTTTTTGATGAATATAGTAATTAACTTTAATGTAATGCAGAGTAAATCACAGTACTTGAACCAATTTTTTACCCTATGAAAAAATTATCGATTACACATCTATCTATTATGGACTTAATGATACAAATTGGATGCGTGGATAACATCGTGTAAACTGCTGGTTTGAGTATATACAAAAATACGCACGTTTAACGTTGTGAAAATTGTTACAAGATATTAAAAATGTGTCTTTTTCTCGGTGCGCGTCCAGACCAGCAATTCGCACGATGTATCCACGCATCTGATCTATATCGCTAAATCAATATAATTAGTGAATAATTTTCTCATAGGGTAAAAAAAAAACTGATTCAACTACTCTGATTTATTCTGTATGAATTATAAATTTTTATTTCCTTAATCATTTAAATTAAAGAAGTAAAAATTTATAATACATGTATATATTTGCAGTTTATTTCTATCACATGTTTTTATCAATAATAAAATGTAGTGTTTAGTTTCTAAAAAATAAGGGGAAGTCTCTTTATAGAAATCAATATTGGCGACTTTTCTTTAATATATGTACAGTGAGTATAAAAAGTATTCGTACAGAAAAAATATTTTTTAAAAAAACTTTATTTTTAAAAAGTAAATATTATCCAGCGAGAAATGAGTCATCGAATTGACATCGAATCGATATAAATACAATGATTTCAACATCAATTTGACGTCGATTCAACGTTTAATTGACGACCATTTTTTATTGGATAATTAACAATTTATTCATAAAGAATAAAATAGACTGTGTGTTTCTTAAAATTATATATACCAAAAATATACGTATTAATTACAAAATATATCATCTGAAAAAAAGTGAAAATTTAAAATTGTATTATTTGAATGCTCAAAAATCTATGCTATTCGTACAGACGAGAAGTTTAGTTTCTACAATCAGGAATACATGCGAAGTTCGTTTGTTTATGTTAGAACAAAATGCATTTATTGTATAAAATTGCTAATTAATGTTTATTTTTTACAAATAAGACTTTTTTTATAACAAATTTCCTTGTATGAATACTTTTTGCTTTGGCTGTATGTATATATGACATGTAAGAACTAATCCTATATGAAATTGGATCCCGGTGAAATCAAATTTTCACATATGTTATAACTTATAACCTGCTAAAGAAAAAGTTTTAGCACAAAAAAATGAACAGTTTTTGTGTACGATCATCTATAGTCGCTGAAATCTGACTATAAAATGCTCAATAACTTCTAAACGGCTGATCTAAAATGGATAAAATTATAGTGTTTTGAAAAGGTCTATAAGGAAAGAAAAAGTGAGGGGTCTTACTTAAAAAATCCGAGTAAGTCGAGTATAAAATTGCTAATTAATGTTTATTTTCTACAGATAAGACTTTTTTAATAAAAAATTTCTTTTGTACTTTTTGGACTCACTATATGTAATTTATTTGAATAATGAATGTGAATAATGAATAAAAATAATAAAAAATCACTAATACTTCTACAGTTTTACGAATGAAATCGCCTTAACATGTTATTACGAAACATTTACATTATTCATCGATCATTATTTTTCATTCCCAAGGACTAAAACAACTTTTAAGATTCGTCGCTTTTCTTATAGAGTACATTCCCGTGAAGGCTTAGTAACAACAAGCAGTGAAGAGAAAGAATATGATATATTATATGTTATATTATATATATATATATTTATTTAATTTTCGGATGATTACATCATAAAAAAGTGCATTCAGATTATCGAGCTGAATCTCGAGCCGAATTTCAAACCGAATTTTAAGCCAAATCTTAAATCGAATCTCGAACCGAATCTAAAGACAACCTTTGACAAAAAAAACTTCGTGAGTATCACAAATATATCAGTAAATGATTTTAATCGTATATTTTATGCAATTAAATACTGAATCGGAAAGTAAATCATTACTTGCAAAGTTACAGTTAGGGTTAATTTTTTTAAATAATTATAACTTTACTTTTAAAGAAATCATTGAAAATAGCGCACTATCTGAACAATTAATTTTGTGATATAATTAATAAATGTACAATTTTTAATTCGCATTTATATATTAATACTTTTGGTTTATAAAATTGATAAGATATAACATAAAAGAGAAAGCAAAAAATTCTAAATAGTTAAAGAACATAGAATCGCATTAATAGTAAATAATATATAATAGTTAGAATGAGAATAATTAGAAAGACCGGCACTAGATTTTCTTACGTGCAGTACACAACTTTATTAACAAGATTGATAGAAAAGATATAATATGTTAGACGTAAGTGCATATAAATTAAAATGCGTAAACATTTCGTGTTCTTTTCAGTATAAATTGAAAACATAAAAATTGTTCATTAGATTTCTTCTATGAAGCCAAATTACAAATAAAAAGTTGTCATGTGAGTTAAAAGTTATAAGATTTATGCATAAGTAAGATATAAATTCAAATGAATAAAAATTTAAAAGAAAAAATTAAATAGATTATCATAAACAATAAATCAAATGTTAGATTCAAAGTGATCAGTAAATTAAAAAAAGATTATCACAATCACTTGACAATCCTTTTGTTTGCAACTCAGAAGAAATCTGTTCTGTTTTAATGAACAATTATTATTATCCGTTTTTAATGTATGCTGAAAAAGACTCGAAATGTGAGTCGAATTTGCATTTTTTTTAAATTTAATTTATGTACGTCTTTGTATCTAATGTATTGTATATGCCTTTTTTATCAATCTTTTGTTAATCTAGAGACATTGGTAGTGCCTCAGTGTTAAGGTACGCGCAGTGACACTTAAAATTGTACATTATATACGAAAATCCAGTATCGGCTGTCATTATTTCTTATATTGTTTAAATTAAAATATAAGCATTTATATAAGGATTAATAAGAATTAATGTCTTTTTGCAGCTGTAAGCGGATTATCAATAGGCAATCTAATGATGAGTATCATGGGTGCGTATTTAAGAATGGACGTGAGTGCTACCGTATGCTTGGTTCTTTGCGTCATACTAATAATAATTTTCATTTGGTTGCCGGAATCGCCACATCATTTCATCAAGATTAAACAGGAGTCTAAAGCGCGAATCTCGATACACTGGTATCATCGTGATTGCGATGTAGAATCGGAACTGCAAGCACTGAAGCTCTTTCTCAAAAAGAATAGCAGCTTACCATTTGCAGAAGTTATAAAAGAATTCAAAATTCCATATATTTGGAAAGCACAAATACTCGTATCGCTACTCTTCATGTATCTTCAATGCGGCATAAATAATGTATTATTCTACATGGAGACCATTCTGAGACACACCAAAGTGACAGTCATAAAACCGTCAATGATCGTAATTATCGTTACTGCTATCGGGATTGTCGGCTCTATGCTTTCTATGCTCTTAATCGATAAGTTCGGCAGGCGAATCCTAATAATCCTCTCCACCTTAGCTGTCACGATCTCGCTAATCTGTCTAGGTATACAATATCAGCTTCTTGATGCAGGTTATAATCCCGCTACTCTTCAGGCTCTACCGATTTGTTCAGTGTTGCTCTTCCAGATAGCTTCATACGTAGGTCTCGTCTCGATACCTAACACGGTACTGGGTGAGATCTTTCTGCCACATATTAAGTGCGTAGCTAGCTGTTTCGCCAGCATCATCTGTGCGATATCCTCCTTTATCTCCACATCGACATATCAGCCTTTAATCAATTTAATCACAGAAAAATACTTATTCTACGTGTATGCTTTGTTATTGATAACTGCTGTACCATATATCTATTTCTGCATGCCCGAGACTAAAGGCAAGTCGTTGCAAGAGATTCAAAAAGAACTGGACGGAAGAACTAAACAGTTAGTTGAATCAATTTGAATACATTTCATCGAACTATCGGATGATCGGTCTATAGAAAACTTTTAATAGAATTTGTTTTCTTGCATTTATTACAAAAATTTTTCCACGATAGATCGATAATCAATATCGAGTAATGTTGATATGACGAATAATGATTTAACAAATTGTAGTTTCAATGTAATATTTTTATTTCTCAGCAAACCTACATTTAGTTATTTAGTAACAAGATCAACTGAGTTGATAAAAAAACATTTTAAAGAATAGATATATAAAAATATCACTTCTACTCATTGTATATTATTTTTGCACATGCATTAAACAGCACATGCTGTAAAAATAATTTAATTTTTTATTTTATTTGTAATACGCGATTGTTTAAAATTACTTAATTAAATTTAAATCAAGGGATAAAACTGAAGGCATTACAGTGTACATATTTGAAGCATTACTAGAATATTAGTGGACATTACTGGGCATTACTGAGCATTATTAACTGGGCATTACTATACTGGGCATTACTAACTTTTCTTTACATATAAAAAATAAAAATATCAGCAATACTCGCACAAATCTTAAGAATACAACAATGTGCGAAATACGCTCACAACATTTGTTCTTGATTCACTTGTATGTAATAAATATTTTAATATTTAAATAAAATTATACAATATTATTAATACAAATACATTATATTTATTTGTATCAACAAATCAATTATATAAATATAATAAATCAATATAAAATGTTATTATATATCAAAATTTCCTTAACTTTATGCACAAATGAACCAAAAATTTTCTTATTTTTTTATTAAAGGCGCTTAAATATGTTTTATATGTAAAGTTAAAATTCTCTCTGATTAAGTAACTAGTCTTATTTTACTTTCTGTTATCTTCCAGGAGCTCCCATATTATTCTGGCCATATTAAATAATTACATAATTATGTTTAATAAAGATAATTTACTGGATGAAAAAAACAAGATCATTTGTCTAAACCAATATTTTTATTTTCAATAAATTATTTCTTAAATTCAAATAACATCACAGATTTCTATAAGTAGACTGCTGATTTAATGTGATAGAAAGAGACCTGATTCCGAGCTATCCTTGTTTTGTTTCCCCCAAGCACATATATATATGTATACGTCCAGTCTGTAAATATATGATGTATACTGAGCAATAATTATCCGTGTGATTTATACAAGTGTGAATGTAAAAAATTAAACACGGCGTTGCCCAACCCTATCTTCAAATATGGCGGCGAAGTCGACAGTCTACTTATAGAAGTCTATGAATAACATAAATACATAGCAAAAAATTACTTCTAATAAGATATTTTTTATAGATTTTTGTGTGCGCTCAGATTCTTGAATGCTGAAAATGCACACTCGATATTGCAAACCAAATTTCTCCATCACGTCAGGTTTTCAAAATAACTGACGTATAATACGCAAAAAAAATAGCTTTTCTGCAACATTTAACATTTTTCTATGAAAAAGATGATCTTGAAATGCTGATAAAAAATCATGAATGTATTGTTCATTTTCTATAAAATGCATTTTTTTATTTCAATAATTTTTTTAGCTATGTTATGAAGGTTTTAAATATAAGACCTTTCTAAGATTGTAAATTTTCCGTGATAATGATAATGAAATTGCATATGTATATTTATAATTTCTAAATTATCGATACATAATGTAATTTCTTGTAATAGATTCCACTAAATGTATAATATACGAGTACATATACATATATAAATTCAGACAGAATATATGTGTTATACCGGGTGTTTCAAATCATCCTTTTTATCTTCGCAGGATAAGGTCCAATCGAAAAAAATGTTCTGACAAAAGTTGTATGATTTAAAAAGATCTATTTACTGATCTTATCAGTTTAACCTTAAGTAACCAAACTCGCTAAAGTCAGATCGAGGTTACGTTGATTTTTTTAAATAAAAATCTCCATTTTTTTATTGTATATTTTTATAGCTTATCTCGAGAGTATTTTAAAACACCATAATCAAATATTTTTTCATTAAGTACTTTTTGAGTTATAAAGCTTGAAAGTTACAGTACCTTCGGCATTTGATTGTATGTGATAACCATATGAACATATCTTTATAGCCATAACCGTTAAGATTATAATTATCTTACGATTATGGCTATAAAGAGTCACAATCGTACTTCTTATAATAAAAAAATGTATTGAAGCTACTTTTGGTTGTGGCAACCGTAGTCGTTTTATCCGTGTACATGTGAAAACACAAGCAATAAGAAATAGGAAATAAAGGCCCATAACGATCGAAACTGAATCATTAATGCTTAAATAATTTAACCTGAATTTATATATTATATGTGTACATGCATGCATATATATATCATATTTGTAGTAATTTGAACTCCGCGCCGAATTAATTTTTCCGGACTTAAAAACAGTTAAACTACTGAAACAATATCATAATTAAATTTTTGATGCTCAATAGGCACCTATTAAAGAGATTTTAACATCAAGATAAATCAATCCATTATGTGATTAAATTGCTTATTTTCGAAGTAAACAACATCCATATTAATGCACTTATAATTAATGAATAATAGTCTAAATTTAAATCAATACATTCCTTGTTAAATTAATTAATCTCTCATTGTTTTAGTTAAATTAGCGACATACAAAGTATGAGCAGTAACTTGTAGAGAGAAAGAAATGATAAAAAATAAAACAAATTAATGTAATTGCTCATTATGAATTTAACAACAGAGATCCAAATCTTGAAAACTAGAAGCTCTTTTCTTTTAATTAAATCAAAACTACAAACTACCAAAATTATGCAAAATTTATAATACCAGATTATAAATTATAATCAAATTGATTATTTCAAATTTTTTTCTCATGATTTACACAAATTATCATTATTCATTTTTATTAATGTTTATTACGTTTCCTCTATTCATATAAATTTTCTTTTTTTCTTTAGGTTACATTTCTGTAAATTATAAAATTCTTATATTCAGGTAATATGTATTATTAGTCTTATATGATAAAAAACATAGTAATTCAATTATCTTACAAATACTACCTATGATTTTAAAAACATGCGGGATTGATTGGTTACCTATTGGTATTACTTCTTATCACGTAAGGAGTATTGTCACATTCTTTCTGACGCGCAAAAATAAAAAAATTAAAATTATTAGGTGTTGGAATTAATTCGTAGCGTTTTACAAGTGATGGGAAGTACTTTCATTAATGTATTTTTTAATGCTCATGTGAAATAAATAACATTCTTTCATTAAAAAACGCTACGAATTAATTCCAACACCTAATATTTAACTACGCATGTGTTGCTCATATCAACGTGCTTACATCAATTGTTTCTCATTTTACGTCGAGTTTGTTTCGTCCTTCATGTATATCTGTAAGTTCATTCTCAGCATATTAATCGATTACTATTAATCTCGTTATTAATTAACTACAAGCATTTATCGTTATTACAAAATATCTCCTTCTTCTTATAAATGTTTGAGGCATTTGTAGTATTTCATATTAACATCATATCACAATGTTGCATTAAAATTACTAATAATATTAGATTAATGTTATATAAAACATGGTTTATAAAAGATCTACGTTATTTACTTTTTTAATAGGCAGAGCTTTCCAAAAAGGAGCTCCATTCATTAGACTAAAACTTCAATATGTTATCGCGTTTCCTTGACAGAAAACGTATTAAAATAAAAAATTAAAATAAATATTTTATATATAATAAAAACTTCGATGTATTTGTAATTTGTCATTAAATTATAAACATTATATTAATTTTCTTCCTTTACATTATAAATAAAAACATTTATACCTCATTTAATTATAATTATAAAATTTTAATTTTATATATTCTCTGAGAAAAAGAGAATACGGAAAAAAATAAAAAAGATATCTAATACGTTATCATAAATTAAAAAAATTATTTTATTAAAGCTTTTTCATGTAAATACAAGAAAACTGATAACATATTGTAAAAATATCAAGAAGATATATGACAATGAATAAATGAAATAAAATAAAATGTAAAAAAATATTTTAAAAATAATTATATAAAATGAAATATAGTAAATGGAAAATAATTTGGACTTTTGGATCAATAATCTTATATTTTCAAAATTTTATAAATATAATCAAGTATAAAATCGAAAAATGAACAAAAAATTTCCTTCATTATGAATCATGTTTTCATAAAAGAATGACGTCAGAAATGATATTTATGAAAAAACAAATCGAAGATCTGAACTTGCAGAGTGATACCTGGAAAAATTACCAGAGATATATTTTCCTGTGCTTAGCATAACTCCCCCTACATAATTCCTTTTTACCCTCTCTTCTGATACATGTTAGGTATATATAGCTGTGTATCATGATAAGAAATTAGCAAAACATTGTAACGTGTAATTTATTATATTATAAGTCATCCACCTCTCGATATCATTCCACAGTTGACTGTAACACAGATACTAAAAAAAAAAAAATTTTGTATATTTATAACTCGATTAGAAAACATTTAATTAACCAAAGAATATTGTAATCACTAGAATCTGAAAATTTTGCGTTCATTATTTTTACGTTACAACTTTTTTGAACTTAATTGGATTAAAATGAAAAATTTCCTACTTATAATTTTAAATAATTTAAGTAGTATTTATGATTTATTTTTAAATAAAAACTTTTTTTATTTAATTAGATTGAAAAATTGCATTTCATTCAGAATATTGAATTGAGCAGTATTCACGTTGCACAGAAATTACTGATATTATTTTTCAATTCAACTAAATTAAAAAACTGTACTTCCTATTTACAATTCTGAATTGAGCAATATTCACAGATGTGCACAGAAAATACTAATATTATTTTTGGATTGAAAGGCATAGAGATATGTTCTATGCAATATTGCTTCTATGAATGGATAAAAATGCATTCAGGATTGAAAAGGATTCATTTTAACATTCATGAATCCGTATTTTTTAAAA